GGGTCTTCCCTCACTACGTTGGACTAAAGATGTACTGATATTTCTGGTGGATTGTTTAACATCGCGATTTCAACGAGTACTTTACAGTGAGATGCCTCTCGACTTGACCCCCTTGTCTTTTGCCTGTACCCGGATTTTTTCAACGGCATTGCTTTTTTCGTGATCCAGTTCCCCCTTTACCGGTAATCTCTCCTGTCACTGGTTAATGGCAAATTTATAACATCGTATCATTGTCTTGGTTGATAAAGAATACAGTATTTCTCCATTAAGACCCTCATCTAAATCCTGGAGCATGCAACAGACATACAGTTGCACCGCGCTGGTGTATTCTCGAGCACGGTGGCTTTTACGCGACTTATCAAATATTGGAATATTATCATTTACATCTTGTACATTGACGGTTTGGATATGTAGCGTTGCCTGATTTGGGAGTTTGCCTCCATCTACAGCTGTCAGCGTTAGTTTGATACCTGGCTGTTCTCACGGTCTAAGGCTTTCTGCAGCACCATTCAGCGGACATTGTCGGCTCTCCACCATTCTGCACATCCAGGTGAAATGCTCATTTTGACTCAGCTTGTAAGCTTCTTTAACTGAAAACTACCGACAATCGCATCGAAAGTTTGAAGTGGCAAATTCTTTCACCGGGAAAAGCTGACTCAGACACGTTCAGAACAATTCCCGGTATCCGAAAAGAGGGCGCGTTGTCGTTCTATACCAATTATTTTTAACCTTCAAACGATAAGAGATTCAACGGAGAGTTCACAATGGCTTCCACTTCCAGAGCACTTCACATTGCGAGAGCAGAGCTCCTCTCGGTCTATTCGTCTTTTATTACAGTATCCCAGTCTTAACATTCACTTCGAAAAACCTCGTATTAGGTCCTGAAATCTGAAAATGCCCGAGTTTCCAATTCTTTACATCTAGATGTAAGTCCTTCGCCAAATTCCCCACAGTGGTTACGGGGCTCGATTCCTCCGTAACAGATACACAATCTATGCTGCCTGCGAGGCTCCATATGTAGATACGTGGAACAAAAAATAAATCCAATGCCGGAAAATATTCCCCTTGTTGCATTCTGTCCATTAGCCTGGCTAGACAAGCCAATTCGAAAAATATCACTCCAGAGGTAACATTGCTAATGATGTATCCAGATCAGAGCCCCTCAAAACAAGTTGAGACACTGCTGATACCACGAACAAAGAATTACAAACCCTCTCTCTTAGACCAGAGGGGTGGAGCGTCGCAAAAGAAAATATATTTTTAACTCTGTGAGCTGATGGCGACATTTGTGGTAATGTAAAGTCAGAGGCAAGAAAATATGAAAATAGATGCTGAAGTTTTACATGTTAAATGAAGTAACTTAAAATCCCATATACTGAAACGAGCAGTCACTCTCAATAATGCGTCTTTACATACCATTTTTAAAGAGGAATGAGCAAGGGGCAAAATATCAAAAAGTGCCAAGTGAGGCATTGCCACAGGCACAGGCTAAATTAATAGACCATCAGGTCACTGGATGAACAACTTAAGACTTACGTTTTCAAAAGTTACCCTGCAATATGGCACAGATTGATCACTTGAATTGGCATTATGAGAAATACATTGGATTGGACACAAAACTACACAATTGTTAAAGGACAACAAAAAGTCATAGTCATAGTTATTTCCATTGCCGTTGTTAAATGGTCAGCTGCATTTTTAACATTAAATCATTGCTAGCCTTGTGTTTTATGCATTGTCACCCTATACCCTTTTCTTTATTTAGGTTAAAGTCTGAGTTTTCTGGTTAAAAGTGTCTCCTCCGTTAATACTGATCAGCTCACCATCTATATGCGGAAAACGGTCGGGGAAAACCACTACGTCATCTCAGCGTGTCTGAGCTGAAAACTCATACTGCTGAGTAGACTTAGAGTAAGACCGCTCCCGTCAGGGTGGGTGGTGATCATTGGGGCGCGTACCTGCTGAAACTGCTGTTCCTGTGGCAATTTGACAGCTATTAAACTGATGAGGCTCACAGGAAAGATCACTGACACCACAAATGGCGATCAGCAGATACAGGTTAAATCAGAGAAGGCTCTCCTCCTTTATGGCCCATGTCTGAACGGAGTCTGGATGTCAGCTGTGCTTTCAACCACCACCACATCAATAGAACACAGTAGCTGACACGGGAGGGTTCTCCGTTATCAGAAACCAGAACCACCAAGGATTGAGCTTTCAGGTTCATTGACACTCATTCTCCTCTTAGTCCGGATCTCTCCGGTGCTGGTTCGATGCGGAAGAGTTGTTTCCTTTGGGTTCAGACAGGTGATAAGAAAGCAGCGCATTGTATCAGAGTCTGCGTCTACAGCCCTGATCTTTGCCACAAATATCCCGCTTCAGCAGAATAGGGGATGCATCTCACTGTTAACGGAAGCCGGCTCGAATAGGGCGCGAGAATCTTGGATTATTGCATTTTCATCCAGAATCAAAAACGTTCACAGTCACGTTGCTGCTGAGCGGAGGAACACCCAGAAGTCTGTGGCCTGAACTTTAAACTGGAAATGGTTTTTAACCCTCATAGTTAAAAGACGCAGGCTGACTCCAGTCTCTGAGTTAATGTTTACAACAGATGTAATGGGAATACTTTTTGAATTGCTATCTAATGATGAATATGTTAATTTTGCATTTTCTTCTACATCAGGATCAACTGCAGTTATAGTAAAGATAGTAGCTCCAACTGGACTGTTTTCTTTAACGTAAACATTAATCACAGGCTCTGAGAATAGAGGGGCATTGTCATTCACATCAGAAATGTGAACAGCAATAACACTGGTGCTAGAGAGAGGCGGAGTGCCTTCGTCAGTAGCTATGATGGTGACATTAAATTGAGAAACAGTCTCTCTGTCAAGAGGTCCATCGACTATCAACGAATAATAATTTTTGTAGTTTAGTTTGAGTTTAAAAGGCACCAATCCAAGAATTTTAGCACTAGTGAGACCATTATTACCCCCATCTTTGTCAGTCACAGTCACCAGAGCGACCACTGTACCTATCTCTGCATCCTCTTTAACTGGGCTCATAAGAGAGGTAATAATGATTTCAGGTATATTGTCATTAACATCAGTTACCTCCACTAACACTTTACCATGCACACTTCGAGAGGGTGTACCTTTATCTCTTGCCTCTACACGAATATCATATGCTGCATTCTCTTCATAGTCTACTTTTCCTGTCACAGTTATTTCCCCTGTATCTGGGTTTATGGAAAACACAGATTCAGGATTGAAATGTCCCCGCTCAATAAATGAATACACTATTTCACCATTTATTCCCTCATCTAAATCTGTGGCACTAACGGTTAGTATGGATGTCTGAGAAGGAGCGTTTTCAGTGACCTGAGCCTTATACAGAGGTTGGCTAAATACCGGAGCGTTGTCATTTGTATCCATGACATATACCACTATTTTTAATGTCCCTGAGCGGGCAGGTTTTCCTCCGTCCAGAGCAGTTAAAGTAAGGTGGATAACAGACTGTTTTTCCCTGTCTAAAGATTTCTGGAGCACTAAATCAGCAGACTCACTGTGCTGTCCGCCGCTCTGTACGTCTAATGAGAAATACTCATTTGGACTCAGCTTGTAGCTTTTTACCGAGTTACTGCCGGTGTCTGCATCGTTTGCCATTGGGAGTAGATACCTCTCTCCGGTAAAAGAAGATTCAGAAATATTGAAAGTCTTCTCTTTTTCACGAAAATATGGCGCATTATCGTTAATATCAATAATTTGTACCTCTATGCGATGCAGATGCGTTGGGTGGCTCAAAATTGCTTCTACGTTCAGGGAACATTTTGCTGTATTTGGACAGAGCTCTTCGCGATCAATCCTATCGCAAACATATAGAGCACCATTTTTTAAATCCACGTCGAAATATTTCTTTGAATTCCCAGATACAACTCGCAAATCCCGGTTTTCCAATTCGTGAACATTGATTTGTAAATCCTTAGCGAGATTTCCCACTACCGTTCCTTTGTCAACCTCCTCAGAAACGGAGAACGACAGCTGCGCCGTAGAGCCATTACACAGACAAAGCAGAGCTATTACTTGTATCCAAATCGTGACTGATAGTCCTCCACGTCCCATCGCTGCCACAGAATGAAAGAAACAATCATTTCCGAACATGTCCACACTTTAAGCGAATAACAGACGAAGCCGTGCCTGTCTGGTGACCATTTGTGTATTTACTGACAAAGCACCAGTGAACTAATGATGCTTAGCACAGAGAGGTGGAGTCTGGGAAAAAAAGGAGCTACACAAATATTATGGTCTCCAGCGACACCAACTGTTATTTTGGTGCTAATGTATAAAGACGTGAATGTGGTATTCCTAAGGTGCAGAAGTTCTAAATATATTTCAGTGGACCGCAATTTAAAACGCTCTTTCTGGTGCATTAGTAAGGACTATATCAGTTGCATGTTGCAGGGCAAACTATATTAAAAAGTTATACATAGCCTGTTATTCAGGTTTAAATAATATAAAAGATAGGGAGTCTTTGTTCGTGCACGGAAAAACAACACCCGGAGTTCAGCACCATGGACAGCAATTACTTCTCCGCTCAAAATATATTATTTGGCAACTTTTTCGAATTATTTACCAGACGAAATGTCCAACATGTAGCATAATAGTATGGTGAAAAATATGCCAGGTAATAGGTTATTATATATATATATTTTTAAATATATATTTATCCCCCAAAGTACCACTTGCTTTCACACTGCTTTCACAGCCATACATAAAATAAGTATCACGAAAAGTCAGCAATGTTTTAAATGTCCCAATCTGATAATAGAAACTCGTCTTTCAGTATTGACATGACACAATAATTGTAAGGACCACAAATCTACTCTGACAAACAACTCACCTTCTCTTTGTTGGGTAAAGT